TCGTTGGGATGTGGTTATGGGGTATCGGTTATCCTTCTGAATTTCATCTAAGTATTAGTTATATATCATGTATACATATGTAGACATAAAAGTGCCCTCAGTCAGTTCAGTACCTTTGGCTAGCAAAGGTATACCTTCGTTGATACTTGTACATTACTAGGAACTATTATAGGTATAATTAGGAGATACTACTTGCTATTCCTATTATAAGGAATTACACCAGAGTCAGTTCATACATGAGTCTCTATTAAATGTTATATGAAGAGATACGTTTACTTGGATACACTTACCTGGATACACATACATGGATACCTTTACATAGATACCTTGTTAAAAGCATGCCTTTATATGTATAGTTATATAAGTAATGTTTAAAGGACTTAGGAAGGCTAACCCGCTTTATTTCCTTTTCCTCGTTGTGATGTGGTCTGGTAGGGTATCGGGTATCCATCCGAAGGTCGTTTAAATCTTTAGTTATATATCATGTGTACATATACAGACATAATAGTTCTGAACAGTCAGTACCTTTTGGTAGCAAAGGTATACGTTTATATATCCATAGTAAACTATTATAGGTGTAGTTTAGACTTATATATGATTTGGTAATAAATATGGATTTCGACCTAGCTTTTCGTTGTAGAAGTCACCTTTAGTTCCAAATGTAGAATAGGGACTACCAATCATATTATTACTTACTTACAACGGGTCTCGTGAGAAGACTACTTACTTACTAGACGGGACTAACCATTCCGGCACCCAACTGTTAGCAACAGAGGAATAAACATCTACGGATGCCTACAGTTAATACTTATACTAGGGTACCTTTACGGGACTAACCATTCCTACACCCTACTGTTAGCTACAGACGACAATGATCATCTATGGACATTCAAGGTTAATATTATTCGACAGTCACAATGTCGGGTTTATCCTAATACAAAAGGATAATACTTACATGGCTATATTTTTCCTATTACTTTTATTTTGTAATACATTCACATAAACGATGAGGTAGATTATATATATTGTTAATAGTAGTCATAAAAGGGGAAAAACATCTTTGTTACTTTCAAAACAGTCAAGTCTTAGTAGAAGATTACTCTTTATACTAATAGAAATCATAGGGATTTGCTAGGGTATTCAAACGTTTTCAAACTACCTTCAAACAGTTCATACTTATACAAACTTTTTCCAAATGTTCACAAGTCTTTACTTTCTAGTTTTACAAATCTAAGACACGTTAATACTAATACTAGGGTACCTTTACATGACTAACCATTCCTACACCCTGTTGTTAGCTACAGAGGACAATGATCATCTACGGACGTTCAAGGTTAATACTATTCGGTAGTCGCGATGTTGGGTTTATCCTAATACATAAGGATAATACTTACGTGGCTATATTTTTCCTATTACTTTTATTTTGTGACACATTCACATAAACGATGAGGTAGACTATATATATTGTTAATAGTAGTCATACAAGGGAAAAACCGTCTTTGTTACTTTCAAAACAGTCCAGTCTTGGTAGAAGACTACTCTTTATACTAATAGAAATCATAGGGATTTGCTAGGGTATTCAAACGTTTTCAAACTACTTTCAAACAGTTCATACTTATACAAACTTTTTCCAAATGTTCACAAGTCTTTACTTTCCAGTTTTACAAATCTAAGTCACATTAATACTTATGAATTCACCAGCTTTATTGCTGATACTCGCTTTCAAAATACTTGTATTCTCAGGTCACAAATAGATGGATACGACAACCAGGTTTTGTGAAGACGGAGAAATCAAGACTCCTATTTGATTTTGATTGTTCATTATGTTGTCTTATACTATGAAAGAACATACTTGTAAGTAAAATTATACTAATAATGCAATGGATGATGTTGTTCTTTGTTTACTACTTTGCATTGTTGTGATACTGTACATGACGTCCTCCACCCCCGAACGTTTCCGCCGTTCTAGTTTTGGGGTGTGATAGTGCAGCAGCTGCTACCATCGGTACTTGCTCGTTCACTTAGGGTTGAGGCTGCTAATTCATGTTCCCATTTGCATTTCCGAGTCCACTTTGGGTTCTCACCATGTCGATTTATACACCAAGTAGGTGAATTTAGATCTTTATTTACGATAGACGTTTAAATCCTCCTTATCACTCCTAAACGTTACATGCTAGTTTTAATATCGTAGTCGAACATTTATAATCCTGAACACGTAAGGTATGCAGATCCGATCGACAATAGACCATAGATCCGAACAAATTATAGCATATAAGGCATCTTTATAGCTATAACATAAAGAATTTAGCACATAAAAGCATTTTAGGCATATTTCCTAAAATAAACTAGTGGTCGTGTCTAAATTATAGTAAACACTCATCTCACAATCATCGCTTATCATTCTAAGTTTAAGTCTAGAAATCCTACAAATTCCTAGTTCGCTTAAACTAATGCTCTGATACCAACTGTGACATCCCCAATTTCACGGCCATAAAATACCGATCTGTTTATGCTTTGTTTGAAAATAGAGTATACTTTTAAAGAAATATGTTGCGGAATTTGTTCCAAAAAATATGATAAAGAATTTATCAAATCATTTTTGAATAAATGTATTTTCATTATATTACAAACCTTGGGATGTCATTGTCAATACATATCAAAAGCATAAATAAAAACAACATAGGCTACAAAAACAACATAGGCCTTACAACATTCTATTTATTTATATTGGCCTATAATCCATAATCTCTCATCAGATCATCACATCTATGCTCTTGTGTCACTACCTGTAATACAATAAACTGAGTGGGTCAGGTTTGGGAGCATGATGAGTATATAGGGTTTTCAACCCACAATAAATAAGTTTATTATTTTTATCAAATCATTCAACCCGATTACATGTTCCTATTATCCTCACTTTACGTCCCTAAAGCATCTATTATAAGGGTCCTAGTCTAGGATTTTTCATCGGTGTGGACAACATTGCTTTGGGGATTCCCCAGCAATACATGTAAAATAAGGCAACCATGAGGGGGATGAAGTACACCTGGTGAACACGTAGTTCAAATAAACACATACAGGTTGCGAGACTGCTAGCGTTCCGTTGGACTGTCTAGAATAGTATGTGGTTGTCATATATACTTCACTAGATGACTGGATCATTGTAAACATCGAGGCATTTCATCATTTTATTTCATTACACATCAACTATTTCATCTACCCATGTTTTACCCAACATATTTGTAGATATAAAATACATATACAACTTAAATCATAAAAAAATGTTTAAATCCTTCATCCGACATAGATCTCAGGTAAACAGATAATATGCACACATATCACGTAATTTATATAAAATACTTCATATCTATGTGTAAGATGAAAGTAACTATGCACTCACATGATAAAGTGGTGATTCCAACTTGGACAACGATTCGCTTCTTAACAATATAATTTCCTTCGATGAAACCAAAGAGTTTGCTAGAAACTGGGCTATGCGGGGGCAGAACTTTTCGAGCCGAAAAGCTCTTTTTTCTCGGAGCTTTTGGGCGCTCCGGGACCTTCTTTTAGCACTAGGAAGATTCTAGGGGTTGGGGGTGTTTAGAGAGAGAGAGAGAGAGAGAGATGGAGAGAGAAAGAAAGGGTTTTTGGTGTGAAGAATATGGAAGCCTCACACCTCTATTTATAGGGTTGGAGCTGCGCAATACGTTGAGCGTACCCTCGGTGGTACACTGCGCATAAGGGGCACGTGTCGTTCTTCAGATGGTGTGTCGTGGCTACTTCAGAACCGTGCAATAGGAGACCGCGGTGCGTACCTTCGGTGTACGCAAGGCGTCCGTAATGTTACACTGGGCGTAAGAAGATCACATGTAAACATCCGAGACGAGGACCGTGGGGAGTAAGGGAGGGTACAAATCACGCCACTTCATCACACTTTGCAAATTCCATTCCCGACTTCTAAAATTCGTAACTTTCGCATACGAGCTCCGTTTTTTACGTTCTTTATATCCACGCGTAGGTGGAGACATACTCTACAACTTTTGTTTAGACTATATTGACTAATTTTGATTTTATTTTTAAAGTTATAATTTTAACAGACCGATATAGAAAATGTCCGTTAAAAATTCATATTTTTGTCATCCGACGTCAATTTTTACCTGTCTTTATATCGTTGAGCTCCTATTGATGAGACCTTCAATTCTCGTTTAGGTTGTACCGACTAAAAATCACTCGATCTAAAATTCAAACTCCGGGCTGCACACTGTTATGCCAAATCTTAGAAAATTCATAACTTCCTCATACGAAGTCATATTTGGACGTTCTTTTTATGCGCACTCTCGGTTTAACATATACTTTGACTTTTGTTTAAATCTCTAAGACTAAAAACCACTTTATCGTAAACTCACTTTTTACGTCACACAACGTCGTGCCGGTTTTGTCTCGAAACTTCGACATGTCATAACTTATTTGTTATAGCTTGGATTTCGGCTTTCTTTATATCTTCGGAATCATTGTCACGACCACAACTTTCTTCGTAAATATTGGGTTTATCTATTTTTTTTACGATTATTTTCATTCTTAATTTATTATATCTTCTAAATAAGTATAATGCACATAAAATCACATAATCCACATAATATTCAAGTAATTCCTCTATATTACTTCTAAATAAGTTACATTTGTTTATCTTAACTATTACATCATCGTATTAATGTTTAGTCTCGAAACATGGGCGTTACACATAATGTTGAAAGTAAATAGTGTAGAAAATAAGTTAAGTAAAAAGTATACAAACGTAATTGTTTTAGGTAATTTTGGCATTCAATTAAAAGTATACAATGCAACAGACTTTTATGAATTTTTAAACCTCAAAAACACAAAAATACAACTTTCAATTAAAAGTATAATGCTATTGTGGATGTTTAAAACTAAAAAAAATGCAAAATTAATCAAAAGTTTTGCCATTTACCTATATCAAGTAGAAAAAAAGACGTACTTTTATGCCCTTCCGAGTACAATAGCATCAAATTTGTATGTTCATATATACCAACAGTTGATTACACAAACAGATAGATACATAATGATATAAAACAAATTATATGTTGCATCAAATGCACACAAATTAACTACAATTCATATAAATAATTAAAACAGGGAGCAATTATTTAAATTATTCGAAACATACAAAAAATGTGTAAAAGACAAATATGTCTCTACTCATGGAAAACCCTTAACAATACCTTTTTTAAGTACAATGCAACCGACTTTCATGGATGTTTAAACCTCAAAAACTAAACCTCAAAAACACAACAATACAACTTTCAGATAAAAGTATAATGTTATTATGGATGTTTAAAACTAGAAAATAAGTAGCTGATGAAGAATGAAGCTTGAAGCCTATGCAAAAACTACATGGAAGCTGATAGCTCACAGATGCAGAAAGCGAATTTAGTTTTTGAGTCTGGACGTTGAAGAAAGAAGGGAACAAAATATGTATCGATTCCAATTTATTGAGATGGTTATTATAGCTTATTTATTATTTATTATTGGCTAATATGACAACATGATTTCCTTTTCCTAATTTGATAGGATAATTGAATACTTTCCATTTGAATTTGATATTTTCTAGTATAGTAATTTTTAAAAAGATTCTGATAAGCCAAAAAATAAAGGGATGATAAAAGTTGAAATCTATAAAATCGGTAATGCAATCAATATTTGAGTTCTGTTACTGGAAACGATATAATAATTTGTTGAATGAATACGATTTTGGTGGAAATTCTCATAATAATCGATATTAGTTACATTTAATGAATACCGAATTTGTTGTTATTGATTTTAAATGAAACCATAAATTGTTTTAAAACTCTATTATGATGACAAGTGACATTTACTGACATGACATGCTATGGAGATACATATGTCTTTAGGAACTATTGTTTTATTAGGTTGAAAGGAGTGGATACGCTATACCCCTCGCCAAAGGAACGCTAAAGTCGTTTTACACCATCCCCTTTAAAGTCGCTAGAGGTGCTAAGAAGGAAGCTCGCCAGCGGGATAACGAGATGAGAAAGGAGAGAGAGAAAGGGTTAATGGAACCTCATTGGTGGAACTCATTTGACTGGTAATCCCAATCTTGATTTAACAATTTTGAAGATTTGAAGGTTTCTTAAATCAACGTTTTCTTCTTTTTAATCATTCTTTGGGGTTATATGGGTTACATTCGGATCAAGGAAATGGGTTTTGGTTTGATTGTGTGAAGATACGACATTTATGGGTGATTTGATGATCTTCATGTCTGGAAACCAAGTAAGGGTTTTCTTTCTTCTTCTTCGTTGTTTTTTTTTTTTTAATCTGAAATTATTATAATATAATGTAATTTATTATAAGAATTCGTTGTGTAGATATGAAATTATTATTATGTAATTTAATTTATTAGAAGATTTCGTTGTGTTTGCAAGTGATTCTTTAAATCTGTAATGTCATTGAACCTTTGATTTCCCCAACATCTTTCCACCACAGTTCATGGTTTTAATTTTCTTATTCTTGAAGGTTTTTAGTTTTTAATATTATTTGTTTGTATTTTAAAAAATTATAATTAAATTAATTTTGAAAAAAAAATAGAATGTTAGGAGTGTTACCACTCCTTACAAAATGTTAGGATTTAAGTGTTATGACGAAAAGATGATGTTGCAGGCAAAAAAAATGATATGAGAATATGCCAAGAGTGTAACCTTAGTAAGGATAGATACTACAAAATACATAATATAACCCTAATTAGAAAACGATTTTAAAACATTGATTGTTACGTTGTATAGTAATTTGAAAAAATCCATCCAAATCATTCATTCAAAACAATTTAATATTCTAGAAACATCCATAAATATCGTGATTTCATATAATATTAAAATAATTACAAAATATTTCGATAAAAAACCAATCATTTAGAAAAATTACCAAACTATTTACATATTATATTTGTTAAAATTAACAAAACATTTTTGCATATGTAGCCGATTGCTCCGTTGACTTTAACTTATATATTTTATTATTGATTAGATGTCGCCATATTAAACCAAAATTTGATAAAACGATTTAAGAAATTAAAACCATATCTTCCCAAGTTCTAAATAAAATTACCACGGATATATTAAACCCCTAAAAACATGTTATTTTATAAATTATTTCCATTTACAACAAATATCTCATGAATACTAATCTTATCTTATTCACAAATCCATCTTATTTTTACTGGGAAAACTACATAAAACCCAACGCGTTATGTTATATTTTTTTTAATCAAAATTTTAAAAATATATTTTACAATGTTTTAAAAAATAATTATTTTATTTATTTGTTTATTAAAACCATTTATTTTTATAAATCAATATTAAGATATGAATTATCACAATGATCATTTTTTATTTTGAAAGAAAAAACTCTCAGAAGCCCTAATCTCATCCAATAATGATCATTTTATATTTTGATTCTTTTTTTAAATCATATTGTATTTATTTTAAAGATTGTCCGAAGTTACATTGTTATATTATACCTTTAATAAAAATACAATGTTATAAAACGGTCAGCAAGATTAATTTAGAAAATATTAATATAAAATAAATACAACGAACAAAAATATAATATAATGATTTTTTTGAGATTCCAAAGATATTAAGTTGGATTTTCTTTAAAGTTCATCTTATTTAATTTTTATTAAATGATTAATTTTATAACAAGGCTTCGTCTGGTGACATATATCCGTTATCCAAAAAAATCAACCGAGTCAAAGTACACAGCGAGTCGACTCATCTGAGTCGGGGGAAGGGAAGAAACTAGGGACGTAGTTGTCATTTTCCTTAGACCTACCGCAGCTTTAAGTAGGAGAGAGAGATTGTGGGGGAATTTACTAAGAAAGAGGAAAAGATAAAAACAACTGTTTGAGGTCTCCTCTCTCTTTCAATCCCTTTTCTCTCTCTACTCTCTACTTAACTTTAGGGTTTTCAGCCATCACTCCTTGCTGATCATTCGCTTAGATCTGCAAGGTTTCACCTCTCGCTCCGTGTTTCTACACCGATCTGTGCCGATTTCGTAGGGTATATGTTTCTTCCATCTTTGTTATTTGTGTGTATTGTTATGAACTGTTATTATTATTATTTTTTTCTCTTTGTAAAATTTTACGTACTGTTTTGTGGTTCTTGTTTGAAGTTTATGTGTCGTAGCACTGTTATGTGATGTAATTTGCTATGTGTTGTTGAATGCGATTTTGAGACTTCATTTGTGAGTAACTTTCGCTTTTGAGTTTTTTTTTTTTTGTTATAATTTCTTCTGCTATATATTTTGTACAAGTTTGCTCTGGTTTTGGCTATGTGATTTTCTTTTGCTTATTGAAGAGTCGGAAGGTAAAACATGACATAATGTGTTTTCTTTCTGTACGTTTTTAGATTTTGTGAATATATAAAACATGCAGCAGAATATTTATGCTCATTCATTTGATGTGTTTGTACTATTTTTACTTCAAAAAAAATTCCTTGTTGCTTTCACCAGATTCTACATAAAAAAACGTACTTTTGATCTTATATATGCTCTGTTAATATTGTTTTATAATGACATTTATGAAGGTCGCTAGACGTACCTTCTTCCTCTTTTTGTAATTCCGACTGTTTTTTTCTGTAAAATTATATGTAGATTGTGATTTTTCTTACCTTATGATTACTTTATATGTCATTAAATAATTCTACAATTTTCTCTATGTTAATGTTTGATGCTTTTTTGGTATACTTTTGATGAATATTCTATGATGAATGTACTTTATTCTCCAATGGTTAGTGAATGCTGTTTTCTCTGTTGTAGTCCTCATAATGGTGAGGAAGAAGAGGACTGAAACCTCCAGTGGTGAGGGATCTCAGCCTCAGGAGGCTGTTTCTGGACAAGGTAGTGGCGCCCAAAGGCCACCACAGCAACAACAACAACAACAACAGCAACAGGGAGGTGGTGGTGGTGGTGGTTACCAGGGTAGAGGACAGGGTGGTTATCAAGGAAGAGGGCAGGGTGGTTATCAAGGTGGACAAGGTGGTGGTTACCAAGGCGGACAAGGTGGTGGTTACCAAGGTGGACAACCTCAAGGAGGAAGAGGATGGGTTCAAAGGGGAGGGCCACCACCACAGCGTGGTGGCCCACCACCACCACAACAGTACTACGGTGGTCCACCTGATCAACCCCAACAAGGTCAACAACAACAAAGGCCTCCAAGAGGAACTGCTCCACCTCAGCGGCGTGGTGGTGGACCTTCGTATGCTGGTGGCCCTCCAAGGCCATCAGTTCCCGAGCTGTACCAAGCTACACAGGCTCCCCAACAGCCTGTGGCCACCTTGCAGCCTATTCCACATGTGAAACCAGCTGAAGTGCATCATGGCGAGTCATCTTCCACTTCACCCACTGACCAGGTTGTAGACGAGTCAGTGACTCAGTTTCAGCAACTCACTGTGCAGCAAGAAGAGCCCATGCAAATTGCACCTGCCTCCAGCAAATCCATGAGATTTCCTATGCGTCCAGGAAAGGGTAGCACTGGAATCAGATGCATTGTCAAAGCAAACCATTTCTTTGCTGAATTGCCTGATAAGGATTTACATCAGTATGATGTAAGCTTTTCTTTGACCTTTTTCATTCCTTATAACTTAATAACTTATATGTAATGTATGTGATATTGTGACTCTTTTCTTCATTCATACAGGTGACAATCACACCAGAAGTAACATCACGTGGTGTGAATCGAGCTGTTTTGGGAGAACTGGTGAAGCTGTACAGGGATTCTCATCTTGGAAAGAGGCTTCCTGCATATGATGGAAGAAAGAGTCTGTATACTGCTGGACCTCTTCCTTTTGTTTCAAAAGAGTTCAAAATCACCCTTGTTGATGAAGATGATGGAACAGGAGCTGCAAGGTCTTTCTTATCTCTTAACAAAATCTTTCTTCAACATCTTTCTAAAATTCTTTTTTCACTGCAGGAGAGAGAGAGACTTCAAAGTTGTGATCAAGTTGGCTTCACGTGCAGATTTACATCACCTGGATATGTTTTTACAAGGGAGGCAAGCTGATGCCCCACAAGAAGCTCTTCAAGTTCTGGATATTGTTTTAAGGGAACTGCCTACTAATCGGTATATATTAATATCAAAAGCAAAAAAGTTAACTTTTGGTTGAATTTTGCATCTTTCTGATATAAGTATTTTGTTTGATTGAATTTTATGCAGATATACCCCTGTGGGGAGGTCTTTTTATTCCCCTGATCTTGGGCGTAGACAACCATTGGGTGAAGGTTTGGAAAGCTGGCGTGGTTTTTATCAGAGCATTAGGCCTACACAAATGGGGCTTTCCTTGAATATTGGTCAGTTTTTTTAACCCTATTTGGTTTGTTAGGTTTTCTGCTATTACAATTTACAAGTAACTTTGACCTAAATTTTCAGTTCATGTAAAGTTTTAGAGTAAATTATAAAAACGGCCCCTTTGCTCTCTAATTTTTACCATGTTTAGCTCAAATTTGAAACGTCTTTCAGTTTTGGTTCTTATTTCAAGTTTCATATTGATTTTAGTCTCTGAAATCTTTAATAAGGGACAAAATTGATATGAAATTTTGTAGTATGGACCAAAATAAGTAAGTCAATGGGACCAATTTTGAAAAAGGTTTCAACTTTGTACTAAACATGTAAAACCCAGAAAGTACATGGACCAATTTTGTAATTTACTAAAAAATTTGCTAGTTTTCTGATGTTGTTTTATGACATCAATAGGACCAAAATAAGAAAGTCAATAGGACCAATTTTGAAAAGGGTTTCAATTTTGTACTAAACATGTAAAATCCAGAAACTACAGGGACCAATTTTGTAATTTACCAAAAAAATTGCAAGTTTTCTGATGCTGTTTTATGACATCAATAGGACCAAAATAAGAAAGTCAATAGGACCAATTATGTAAAGGGTTTCAACTTTGTACTAAACATGTAAAATCCAGAAACTACAGGGACCAATTTTGTAATTTACTAAAAAGTTTGCAAGTCTTCTGATGTTGTTTTGTGACATGTTGTGATGCAGATATGTCTTCTACTGCTTTCATTGAGCCACTCCCTGTGATTGACTTTGTAACACAGCTTCTGAATAGGGATGTTTCTGCAAGACCTTTATCTGATGCAGACAGAGTGAAGGTTAGCTTATTTTTCAAACATTTTGTAAATTGTTTTAATATGATTCAACATCCATTTAATTAATTTATTTATATTTTTTTTATGCTGACTAGATTAAAAAGGCACTGAGAGGAGTCAAGGTTGAAGTTACCCACCGTGGAAATATGCGCAGAAAATATCGCATATCTGGTTTAACATCTCAAGCAACACGAGAACTAAAGTAAGAATCAATTTTCTGTGTTGTTTTTGTTTATGTCAAGATTTCTTGATTACATGTTGATAATATTTATTTATTTATTTCTTGGTTAAACATCAGTTTTCCAGTTGATGATAGAGGCACAATGAAATCTGTGGTTGAATACTTTCGGGAAACTTATGGGTTTTCCATTCAGCATATTCAATGGCCATGTCTGCAAGTTGGGAATACTCAGAGGCCAAATTATCTCCCTATGGAGGTTATAAAATTACTTCATTTTCTTTCATTTGATAATAATAGTTTGACAATAAATGCATTCTAATGCTGTTAATTTTCAGGTATGCAAAATTGTAGAGGGCCAAAGGTATTCCAAGAGGCTAAATGAGAGACAAATTACTGCCCTTCTTAAGGTGACATGTCAGCGACCTCAGGAAAGAGAGAAGGATATTCTAAAGGTTTGTTTTTGTAAGGCCAAATTACAAAAAGAAAGAACTATTCTGTTTTGCATAGTTTTGCTTTTTAACCATTTGTAACTTTTTTGTCCAATCAAACACAACCGTTCATACATTTTGAAATTAATCATTTTATAGGTTGTATCATGTCAAAATGGTTTAGTTGGAAATCTTTATAATAAAAACCATGATGATTTTCTCCAATCATATGGTCTTTCTCGTTTTTTATTATATAATGTTATGTTATGTACTCTTATAATTGTTAAGAAAAGTTATAAATATGTGCTTTGTTTTTGCAGACTGTTAGTCACAATGCTTATGGTCAGGATCCTTATGCTAAGGAATTTGGTATAAAAATTAGCCAGAATTTAGCCTCTGTTGAAGCCCGAATATTACCTCCTCCTAGGGTAAATGACTGAATTTTTATTTATTTTTTTTTATTTTCTCTTGATAACCAACCATTTATCGAGTATTTGATGTATTTCTAACTTTTTTTTTCTTTCTTTTTTAGCTTAAATACCATGACACAGGACGTGAAAGGGATTGTCTGCCTCAAGTTGGCCAATGGAATATGATGAACAAAGTAACTAACTTTTTTTTTTTTTTAGTTAGCACATAATAGAAAACTACATTATTGCATTCTAATGACCTTTTTTTTTGACAGAAAATGGTTAATGGTGGAACAGTAGCCAGCTGGATTTGCATAAATTTCGCACGAAATGTTCAAGATAATATTGCTAAAGCTTTCTGTCAAGAGCTTGCACAGATGTGCAATACCTCTGGCATGGTATTGTCTAAAAAATAAAACTTTTTTTTTTTGTTTTTATTTTTTATATATCTATATATTTTTTAATAAATGTTTTGTTTTTGCAGGCATTTAATCCTGAACCTGTGCTTCCTGCATTTACTGGGCGTCCTGATCAGGTTGAGAGAGTCCTGAAAGCTCGTTTCCATGATGCAATGACTAAACTTCAACCCCACAAAAAAGAACTTGATTTGCTTGTTGTCATTCTCCCAGATAACAATGGCTCACTTTATGGTATCTAAATTAAACCAGAAATCTATTATATAATTGTTTGTAATCATCAATTGGAGTAAATTTCATTTTTGGTCTCTTAACATACTTTCTTTTTGCAATCTTAGTCCTTTTTGGTGTTTTGTAATGTTCTTGGTATGTTTTCCAATTAAAATGACTTTGGTCCTTGAGTATAACTGATTTTTGCAAATTTGGTCCCAAAAATAGTCATTTTATCTGGAACTGGGAGCAAAACACATTACAAAAACCACAAATAAGGACCAAAATTGCAAAAAAAGACGTATCATGGGCCAAAAATGTTATTTACTTCAAATATTTTTTCTCATATTAGGATGTTATTCTTTGAAAAATCTACATAGTTATAGCATTCAAAAAGTCATTTTTGGTCGCTTAATATACTTGCTTTTTGCAATTTTGGTCCTTAAGAGATGTTTTGTAACGTTTTTGGTATGTTTTCCAAGTTAAACGGCTTTCTTTTGTTCCTTAGCATTTAACTGATTTTTGCAAATTTGGTCCCAAAAAGTCGTTTTATCTTGAACAGGGAGCAAACATGTTACAAAAAACTCAAATAAGGACCAAAATTGCAAAAAAACAAATATATCAGGGGCCAAAAATGTAATTTAATTAAAATATTCTTTTTCCTTGTAGTTTGGTAAGATATTTCATGTATAATTTTTGTGCAGGTGATTTGAAGAGGATCTGTGAGACTGATCTGGGGATTGTTTCACAATGCTGTCTAACAAAGCATGTGTTCAGGATGAGCAAACAATACCTTGCAAATGTAGCCTTAAAGATCAATGTGAAAGTTGGAGGAAGGAACACTGTTCTTGCTGATGCATTGTCAAGAAGAATCCCTAATGTCAGTGATGTCCCAACAATCATATTTGGTGCTGATGTCACTCACCCACACCCTGGAGAAGATTCCAGCCCCTCAATTGCTGCTGTAACTCCTCTTTTCCATATGTTTTTTTTCTCTTCTCTTCAAATTTATATTTACTGAAAACGGAATGGAAATACAGGTTGTTGCTTCTCAAGATTGGCCTGAGATCACAAAGTATGCTGGATTAGTCTGTGCACAAGCACATCGCCAAGAACTGATTCAAGATTTGTTCAAGGAATGGCAGGATCCTAATAGAGGCAAAGTCTCTGGTGGCATGATCAAGTAAGCCTTGTTTACTTTAATAAACTTAATTACTAGTCTCTAACATTTTGTTATCGTTAGGGAGCTTCTGATATCATTCAGAAGAGCAACTGGTCAAAAACCACAGCGGATCATCTTCTACAGGTATGGAACATTGGAACTTGATGCAATCCTGAGTTGATTATGTTTATAAAGAAATATTCTGATTGATTGATTGATGATACCAGAGATGGTGTGAGTGAAGGGCAGTTTTATCAAGTGCTTCTTTATGAGCTCGATGCAATCCGTAAGGCATGTGCATCATTGGAGCCAAACTATCAGCCTCCAGTGACATTTGTGGTGGTTCAAAAACGTCATCACACCAGATTGTTTGCTAACAATCACCATGATCGTAATTCTGTTGACCGAAGTGGAAACATTCTTCCAGGTATGCTTTTGCTTTATTAATATTTATTTTATTTGAATGAATATGTAAGTTAATTTCTTTTTCATTAAAATCTTCAGGCACTGTTGTTGATTCTAAGATCTGTCATCCCACCGAGTTTGATTTTTATCTGTGCAGTCATGCTGGTATTCAGGTAATAAATATAAATATAAGGTTTAGAATTATATGGAATGTTTGAGAAGTTTCTAGAATTTGTGGTGATATATATATATATATATTCTGTTTGTGTGACAAAAACAGGGTACAAGTCGTCCAGCTCATTACCATGTGTTGTGGGATGAGAATAAGTTTTCAGCTGATGACCTGCAGTCACTCACAAATAACCTTTGTTACACGTATGTTGCTTTCTCTTTCTCATTGTATATAAATATGGGGTATAAATTGAAAATTCACATTCCATTTTCTGTTTTGCTTTATTTTTGACAGTTATGCAAGGTGCACACGCTCTGTTTCAATTGGTGAGTTGACTTTTCGTTCGATTATCAATTGTTCATCTATTATTTTCTTGTAAATGTTGTTTTTTATTAATAAATGTTATGATATGCAGTGCCTCCTGCATACTATGCTCATCTGGCTGCATTCCGTGCGAGATTCTACATGGAGCCAGATACATCAGACAGTGGGTCAATGATAAGTGGTGCAGCTGGCGGACGTGGGATGGGTGGTGGTGGTGGTGGTGGTGGTGGTGGAAGAAGCACTCGTGCACCAGGTGCAAATGCAGCAGTTAGGCCTCTCCCTGCCCTCAAGGAGAATGTCAAACGCGTTATGTTCTACTGCTAAAACTCCATCCTATCTTTTGTCATTTATTACATTATTCGCCTGGATATGATTCCTGTGTTTTATTATTTCTGCCATTGGATTTGGATGTTATGATTGTGAGGGGTTACTGACTGGTTTGGTAAAAACACATGTTTGTAACGTTTGTTTGTTTGTTTGTGTGATGGAAATGAAATGGCTTTTTGTTTCTGTGATGACTATTTTTTTTTTTTCTTCATCTATTTTTATAGACAAGAATGTAACTAAATCTAGCAAAATGTTTGATAGATATAAAATGCATCGATTAAGCTGAATCATTTAGATGTGCTGTTTGCATTGGACCTAATCTCCTTGCCATTGGCCCATTGCCATCAACAGATGATGAAGATGTAAGCACTTCCTCATCTTCTTTCGTGTCAGGGTTAACTTAAAAGTGCAAGACAAGGGTCATCCAAGTGGTTAATCAATGTCACTTTCCTTATCACTATAACTAACACTATTGCTAATTTAGTATTGGATTGTCTTGATAATGGTGGGGTTCTATAATTGTTTCATTTAACGATGGTTGCACAAAAATTACAGAAACAGAGGTTGTTTTAGTGGGCACCACCCCTTTGCCTTGGGTAGGATTCAAAAAGGCACTTAGGTCCTAAGTGTATTAAAGTAAATTACATAAAATAAAGGTTGTTTTAAAAAAAAAACAATGATAAAGTTAATAGCAATAAACATAGCAAATAGCAAAATCATAGTATTTTATCGAGTAACGGCAGCAAACTGACGACTTGTCAAAGCTCTCATAGCATTTTTGTTAGTTTCAATAAGAATTTCAGATAATTTGAAATCTTCTTCGGAATTATGTTACGTTTGTGTTTCTATTTAATTATTTTGAAATAGGGTTAATAAATAATATGAATAATTATATAACTAAAGACTAATTTTTGTAAATCTGACAAATGAATTAATTAAATAAAATGCATCGCATAGATGTAAAGGGTATAATAATAATAATAATAATAATAATAATAATAATAATAATGCAAAGGGAATTCGAAAATGGGGTATTTTTTGCCAGTATGCCAAACTTCAAGGCCCAAAAATGCCAAAATAAAAAAGAAGGTTGTCTACTTTTCCTTGGATGCATGCAGCACCTCTTTAAACCAACAAAACTTGATTTTCTTGAAATCCATTCTATTCATATCCCTTGTTACACTTAGCTTGATCTTATAAAGATAAATTTCCGGGATAAAATATAAAATATAAAAAATAGGATCATGTGTAGCTTCCCATTTTCCCCTATAAAAAAATAAGGTCATATGCAGCTGCCCACTCCCACATATAACAAGCGTATAGAGAAAATAGTTGGATGACCAGCTTCAAAAAAAAACAAAAGTTTTAGTGTGAGGATTAGAAGTTTACAAGAAAGTTGAAGAAAACCGAAGTTTCATTACCGTAATGAACATCTACATCGATCTCATCCATATCTACTCTGATTATCCAAACCATCGTTGTCAATTTTGCTTCACAAAACTAGGTTTTTTTTGTTGAGAAATTGTGGATTTAGATGGAGGATGAGTGAATAAACTTTTTGATACCACAATGATAACATATACATGCTTACTCACTTGGGCACAAATGTAAAAAGACCAGCATACCCCTGGCATGTAAGACACATATATCACTTAAATGAAAAAAATGGCTAACAAAGCCAATGATGAAGCATGGACGTTTCAAAATAACAAGGGATGTAGTCTAAGTGAAGCAAATCATACGGATTTAACTAACAAACTATATGGTCCTTGTGGCCAACATGAAGTATAATTTTTTACATGGATTGTCCTTTTGGCTGCCAAAAAGTACAACTTTTTCATAGATGATCCTTATGGTTTGTACGTGGTTAGTCCTTATGCATAATGAGATTGAAAAACACAACGTAAAATGCATGTAATCATTAAGTTTGATGAATCAAAATTTCAATAAACGAATTAGTAACTGTGAAATTAAAACACACACACACATACACACACACACACACACATATATATATATATATATATATATATATATATTGTAACGATCCAATTTTTTTTTTCAAAAGAAGTTTTTCATTTTTAAATAATCAAAACATTTCCAATGAACCACAAAATCTCAAGAACAATTGTTTTCAAATTCATAATATCAACATTTTTATTTCAAATATCAGAGTGTCCCTTAAAACGTCTGAGATAGTGCATGTCGCGCCATCAAACCTTGCCCTTGCCCTTAGGCTCCGAAGTACCTGAAACAATCAAAAAATTGTAAGCTAATGCTTAGTGAGTTCCCCAAAGCATACCCCACGCAATTCACATAATCACATAATCCATATTAGCTATAAAGACTACATAAACCATATAATCCATGCATACAACATATAAGGATGCCATGAAAACCCTCCAAGGTCTTAGACTTAGTGTTATTGGAACCTCCAGGTGATCTTAACTACCTACCATGGGAACCCCCACATGGTCTTCTTGCTATGGGAACCCCACATGGTCTTTACTACCAAGAAATATCATACAAGCTAAACATGCAAATATATTAGAATGCCATGGAAACCCTCCAAGGTCTTACGCTAATGCTATGGGAACCCCTACATGGTAGCCCTACTCGTTGAGTAGCAGCGGGTTGGTCCGCGTGTTTAGTGATCTACTCGACGAGTCCAAGTAGTGACTCGACGAGTAGGAGCTGGCAGATGAAACCCTAAATCCTGGGGTTTTGGCACCATATTTAACGATCACATATTCTCCTTAGCCTCTCTTACTGCCTCTCTTGAATCCAGAAACCCTAATTCGTGGTTACCCTCGTTTATGTGTGCTTTTTACCTTGAAAGAAGATCCTTTGGAGTTAAGAGCTTGGAGTTCTAGAAGTTGGAGCTAGTGGCTATTGTAGATCCGGATTCTTCCTTGACATGGCATCATTTTGAAGGTAACAAGTTGTTACCTTGATTCTCCTTTGATTAGAACTCCTCATGGTTGGGTTTAGAGCCATTTTTAGGGTTTTGTGGTGATTCTCTGTGTTGGGTCAAGATCTGAGGTTGCAACCTCAGATCTGGGCTCCTTTAGCCTCTCTTTATCATAAAGTTCAGTATTTGCCAAGCTATGACCTACTTATTGCCTTAAGCCACTCCTTTTAGCTTGTTTTGGGTCATACCATCTTGCATGCACGTAAAGTTTGCAACTTATAATCATGCCCTAGAAGCTTAGATCTGCAGTTGGGAGCCTTTGCATGACTTAAAAAGCTTCTGTATGGATGAGGGATTTTAGGTACTCGGCGAGTCGCATGGTCGAATCAACGAGTCATTTGAAGATGGTCATGGACTCGACGAGTTGGATAAACAACTCGGTGAGTCTGATGAAGATTGCCTTAGACTCGGCGAGCCTGTAGAGTGGCTCGACGAGTTGGTTATGGTTTTCCCAAATCGTTAGGTGTGTATAAATTTGTCGATTTGCACGTGGGAAACCTCGACGAGTGGTCTCATAGCTTCGATCGCGAGCCTTAGGAACTCGACGATTCACTCTGGTGACTCGGCGAGTGGGCGAGTATTAAAGAAACTCGGCGAGCAGCTGAGGGTACTCGACGAGTTAAGGTCAACATGGACTGTTGACCTTGACTGATGGCTTTAATTTTGACCATGAGTTGATCCGTTGACTTTTGAGGATAATTTTGGGAAGATTGGAGATTTACGAGTTTGGTTCGTAATAAATATAGGTGGTGGTGTCCGTGTCAGTGATCCGAGAGTTTGAGCTTATTCCCGTGAGTTAGCATTGCAAGGTGAGTTATCCTCACTATACTTAAGGGTCTAAGGCACCAAGGCCGTCCCTTTGGAATGTATCTGGTTATGTTATGCTAGTATGATCTGTTAGATCGGTATCCTAGAGGGTAGGATAATATTATATGATACGTAGTATGAATTGTTAGATCGGTATCCTGGTAGATAGGATGATATGATGAGCTGTAACGCCCGTAGATCCGGGCTAGTCAAATTAGAGGCAATAGGGGTCGAAAACGACTTTTCGACAAAAGATTATTTATAATAAATAATCTTAACCAAGTTGTGGAATGTGTCTCAAGGTTTCCGTACATATAAAGAATGCCGAAATCCGAGCTATAACGAAGAAGTTATGGCCCGCCGAAGTTTTTCGGCAAAACCGGCACGGCACCGGGAGACGTAAATAGTGAATTTACGATAGAAGACTTTTTAGCCTTAGAAATCTAAACCAAAGTCGTAGAATATGTTAAACTAAGAACATCGATAAAAAGAACGCCCAAATCTGACTTCGTATGAAGAAGTTATGATTTTTCTAAGATTCGGCTTAGCAGTGCACGGCCCGAAACTCGAATTTTAGATCGAGCGGTTTTTTGGCTTATGCGACCTAAATGAGAGTTGAAGTTCTCATTAATAGGAACTCAACGGTAAAAAGACAGACGAAAACGGAGTCCGGATGAAGGAGTTATGAACTCTTCGCGGTCATTTAACAGTCTAAACGCCTCCTACTATTAAATTTGAGATCGGTCGAGAATTAGCTGATGGAGTCTAAACGAAAGTTGCAGATCTTGATTTTACCTACGCGTGGATATAAAGAACGTCGAAAACGGAGCTCGTATGCGAAAGTTATGATTTTTCTAAATTTGAAGGCTGATACGCGATACGGGGTGACGTGGCACCACCAGAAGGCCACCACATGGACCAACTCGGCGAGTAGGTCCCCCCTACTCGGCGAGTAGGCCAGTCAGCACCCCTATAAATAGAGGTGCCGGGTTCCATTCATTCTCACACCTTCAACCTTCTTCTTTCTCTCTCTATACTCTCTCTCTAAGCTCCCTTAAGCCCCTAAAAGCCTAGGTAAACCCCCTAGCACCCGAAGGAAGCCCCGAGGCTCCCGGAGTCCCGAGAAAAAGGGTCTTTCGGCTTGGAAACGCTGCTCCAGCAAAGCCCGGTTTTGCGAAAAACCCGTTGTAAGTGAGCTATGCCTACGCTATCTTTAGTA